GCCGCCGCACCAGCCCCAGCCATCAGCTACGCTTCCGCACCAGCAGCTAGCATCGCCTTGAGCGCACCATCTTATGCTTCTGAGTCGTACAGCGCCGCCGCACCGTCTTACTCTTCAGCATCGTACAGCGCCGCCGCACCGTCTTACTCTTCAGCATCGTACAGCGCCGCCGCACCGTCTTACTCTTCAGCATCATACAGTGCCGCCTCACCGTCTTACTCCTCAGGATCTTACAGTGCCGCCGCACCGTCTTACTCCTCAGGATCTTACAGTGCCGCCGCACCGTCTTACTCTTCCACATCTTACAGCGCACCCGCTTCATCATACTCGTCGTCTTCAGCTTCATCTGATTACAGTGTCCAGTCTGGTAACGGATACAGCTCGTCATCCGGCATCAGTTCCTCATATGGACCACCGTCGACAAGCTATTCAGGCAGCAGCGAATACAAGAAGTATTGAAGCGATCACTAACCTCGATTTGCGTCATGGCACACGGAACTGTTTTAGTTAGATGTTCGTAATAATTTGATACTTTGTTTCATATAGGTATATTATATACCTATAATACTAGTTAATGTTTTGTACTGTCACGAATTTTCATATTTGTTATATTAGTTTGAATTCATCATGTCGTTTTTTAAATAAAAAATAAATATTATGACTGAAAATTATTTCAATATCATGAATTTACAATATMTATCTACCCATTTGCATGCTGCGTTAGTAAAATATAAATGCAAATAACATTAAATATATATGATATATTATATATTATCTTAAACATATATAGATATCAATAATATATTATCTATTACATAATAATAATGGTTATGAACAAAATATAAAATTATCATGTTGCACCAGGGTCATAAATAATATTTTAAATTGCAAAATGCAAAATTGGTGTTCAAGTTGATGAGAATAAAATTTTTTGTAACATAATCGATGGTTCTTTGAAAGAACTTCCTTATATGAAATCACATCACATGATACATTTGGTTAGGCTTATTAGAACAAAAATGAAATTAACGTCAATACATAGGTAATGTTATTGATAAATAATTTTGTAAACCGAAATATATTACTATGAATTATACATTATGGTATTATATTGATATTTTAATATATTTTGTTCTCGTCAGACGTTTTATATATACCTTTAATACATTACAGAACTTCCGGTAAGTTTTTATGGTAAAAAAATGTTGAATAAGATGCAATTTATTAACAAAAATATATAATTTAAGTAGGTATTAAGTCAACAATAATATATTAATATGTTGGTCTGTCGACCAAACGAAATACACGACATTGTTGATTGCATTTTTTCATGCATTCATCGACCATCGTAGCATAATTTTATTATTTAAGAATTTGTAAACAATTAGTAAAACAAAATAAATTTAATACAATTTCAAGTACCTAATAACAAATAAATAAATAAAAATATAAAAAWTATTGCTTAACGTGGTTCCTCAATATTATTTATAACTAACTTTTAACTTTTTAATTAGGTAGATTGGTAGATATTATTGGTTTATAATATTAACAACTTTTCATACCGGCTATTACAAAAAATTACTATTAGTTTCACATCATCAACAATAGTGCAGTGAAGTATAGCGATGATTAAGTGTGTGGAATCTTTAGTCATATATTTGTATCGAAAGTTAGAAGTTAAACGTACGTAACGTGGGAACTAGGAATGAACTCACAACCAGTATCATATTTACCATTAGACAGCATAGGCAACTGTCTATTGTAGTGTTTCCCAACCTTTTTCCTTCACGGMACACTATTCCTATCCAATATTTTGCCGTAGCACACTTGACACTGACTTATATATGTTTAATACATACCTATATTTTTTTTAAATATSATTATTAATAGGCTTTTTTRTATTAATACAAAAAATAGATTATCAGCAAATTACTAGCAAATAATAATTTAAAAAAGTGTGTTTATTTAGTATTTAGGTTTTGAAAAACTCATTTGAAATTATATTTTAATTTAATTAAAAATATGAAATTTATTTATAATGAAAAACAGAGACATTACATTWCATGTTATAGACAAACAAGTTTAGTTATAATGAGAAATTAGGGACTGGTTTCCCTTCATTATAAGTTTCCAACGTACGATAGTCGAATAGTTAAGAAGAACACCTTCATATCAGAGTATTAATAGAATCATTAAAAATATTTTAACTTATTAATCGAAATTATAAGTAAGCGTATTGATCATCAGAGTATTTCACGGCAGTGGAGCACAGAGGTATTTTAAGAGCACATGCAGTTAAAAAAAGTTAGCTGCCCACCCACCCACCCACCCAATTTTTTATTTATAACAAATATTTTCACTTATTATTCACTATAATTCAAAGAAATCAATTAGTATAGACTATAGTTTATGTTACAAATTTTTTAATTTCCCTGTGAAACCTGCAATAGTACACACCCACCCCCCTCGAGAACACATGCAGTTCCATTCCTTGCTAACCTGTCTGGGCGCCACTGTTTCACGGCACACTGATTAGGAAACGCTGGTCTATTGCCTCCATCATAGGCGTGCGCAGACTTCAATTTCCGGTTGAGCCTAGCAACAATTAATGCCTCAATACTTGGACAGTGCCCCTATATATATATATATATATATATTTTTTTAAAACACATTAATTTATACTATAATTGTAAATTAAAAACTGAGTAAATAAAATCAAGTTGTACGACGTACAATGTACGTGCACTCAACATTAATAAGCTAATTTCTAGACATATTTTTTTTTAAATAAAATATTATGAAGAAAACACAATACCTAAAAATTAAAAAAAAAAACTTGGCTTAATGAACAAAAAATTKTACATTCATAACATTATATTACATATATTGTATATATTACATATATTACAATGTGTTATTAGTTATTACTTAATACATTCAATATTTTAAGAATTATAAAT